TCTGGATAGCAATCAATATATTAGGAAATATTAGAAACCCTAAGCATTGCCGCCCGGGCGGTGGTGGCTCATGCCTTTAATCCCAGCACTCAGGAGGCAGAGACAGATAGATCTCTGTGAGTTCAAGTCCAGCCTGGTCCACAGAGTGAGTACCAGGACAGGCTCCAAAGCTACAGAGAAACCCTGTCTCAACCCCCCCCCCAAAAAAAAGAAAAGAAAAAAAAAAGAAACCCTAAGCATTGACAGGATAAACTAATTTTAAAATAAACAGCATGTATGCTGGCTAGTTTTACGGCAATTTGGCAGGCTTGAGAGATGGACCCTCAATTGAGAAAATGCCTTCATATGATGGGGTTGTAGACAAGACTTTGGGGCATTTTCTTAAGAACTGACTGATGTGAAAGGAACCAGTCCATTGTGAGTGGGGCCAGGCCAGGCTGGTGAACCTTGGTTCTTTAAGAAAGCAGCAGGTTGAGCAAGTCAGTTAGCAGCACGCATCCACAACCTCTGCATCGGCTCCTGCCTTCAGGTTCCTGTCGTGATTGAGTTCCTGTCATGACTTCCTCTGATGATAAAAATGATAAAAAGCGATGTGGACTGAATCCAGGACATGTACATATGAGGCAAGGGCTGTCTCTGAACCCAGGACACACACACCTAGGCAAGCGCTGTCCCTGAACCCAGGACACATACTAGGCAAACGCTGTCCCTGAACCCAGGACACACACACCGAGGCAAGCGCTGTCCCTGAATCCAGGACAGGCACACACTCCCTTCTTCCTTTTTCTGAGACAGAGTCTCACCTGTGTAGCTCTGGCTGTCCTGGAACTCACAAAGAGTCACCTGAGCCAGGCGGTGGTGGCACACGCCTTTAATCCCAGCACTCGGGAGGCAGAGGCAGGCGGATCTCTATGAGTCTACAAGAGCTAGTTCTAGGACAGGCTCCAAAATCACAGAGAAACCCTGTCTTGAAAAACCAAAAAAATAAAAACAAAACAAAACAAACAAACAAAAAAAAAAACAAAAACAAAGAGCCACCTGCCTCTGCCTCCCAGGCACTGCTTGGCCTGGCTGACTGCGATTTTACCCGCTATCCTCTCTGTCTCAGCTTCATTTTACCAGACGGCACTGCATGCCCTTGTTATTCACTGACTTTCTGGAAAACCAGAAAGGCAGTTCAGTGAAAGTAGATGCTGTTAGTATTGCTGCTTTATCTGGCAAGGGCTCCTTGCAGTTGAACTGTCAAACACTAGTGATTACTTTATTGCAGGTCAGACTTGATAGCTGCCCTCAGTTACCCTAAAAATGGAGTGGGCGCTAAGCAATTATTTGCCAAAGGTTTCATTGCCATAGTAACTTAGAAACACCTGGAGAGTCTCCTTAAGTCCACTTTTCTCTGGGGTAAAAAAAAAAAAGTGTCTGATTGTAGAACAACAACAAAAAAAAAGAACAACAACAACAACAAAAAAGCCCATAAACCCATGAACACATCCCAACCTAACAAGGCCTCTGCAGTTAAGGGTACTTATTGCTAAGGCAGAGTCAGGGTTCAGTTCCTAGCACCTACATGCCAATTCAGACATCTATAGCTCTACTACCAGGAGATCTGACACTCTCCTCTGACCTTCATGGGTACCAGGCACACATATGGAGCACATACATACATACATACATACATACAAACTAAATCTTTTTTAAATGTTATTTTTCAAAGTTTCTAACTGCTAAGTCATCTACATGTACATCTGTGCACTGTGTGCGTGCCTGGTGCTCACGACAGCCGGAAAAGAGCACTGGATCCCCTAGAACTGCAGTTACACAGGCTGTGAGCTGCCATGTGGGGGCTGGGAATCAGACCTGGGTCCTCTGCAAGAGTAGCCAATGTTCTTATCCTCTGGGCCATTTCCTCAGCTCCTCACCCAAAATATATCTTAAAAAACAAGCAAACAGGGGCTGGAGAGATAGCTCAGTGGTTAAGAGCATTGCCTGTTCTTCCAAAGGTCCTGAGTTCAATTCCCAGCAACCACATGGTGGCTCACAACCATCTGTAAAGAGGTCCGGAGCCCTCTTCTGGCATTCAGGCATATACACAGACAGAATATTGTGTATATATAATAAATAAATAAATATTTTAAAAAAACCAAGCAAACAAACAAACAAAAAAAAACCCAAAACAAAAAACAACTCATACTTGGGGCTGGAGCAATGGCTCATCAATTAAAAGTATCTGCTATTCCCTGAACCATCCATAAATCCAATTCCAGGGGTTCTGAAACTCTCTTCTTCAATGGCACCAGACACACACTTGCATGCAAAATTTTTTTAAAAAAATTCTTACTTAAGCCAGGTAGGGTGGGTCTTGACTTGGAAAGCTGAGGCAGGAGGATAGCTAAAGAGAGTTCCAGGCTGGCTTGGCTTACAGAGTGAAATCTTGGGTCAAAAAAAAAAAAAAATCATGTGTATATATTTTTATTGAAACAGTCTCAACCACATATGTAACAAATATATATATATATATATGTATATATATATATATATATATATATACACACACACACACACACACACATGATTTTTGTTTTCGATTTATCTGGTTATGTTGTGAGTATTTATTTTGCTTGCATGAGAGGGTGCCAGACCACCCTGGAACTGAATTTATGGATGGTTGTGAGCCACCATGTGAGTCCTGGGGACCCAGCCCATCCTGAGTAACAACATCAAGTGGTTTTATTTTTTTCTCCAAGGCAGCATCTCTCTATATGGTCCTGGCTGTACTAGAACTCATTCTGTACAAGAGGCTGGCATTGAACTCACAGAGATCCAACACTTCGGCCTTTCAAGTGCTGGGATTAAAGGCGTGCGCCACCACCGCTGAGCACCATCAAGTGTTCTTAACCCCTGACCCATCTCTCTGGCCTCCTTTCTGCGGTTTTGATGTGGTTAATATGCAGCCCACACTGGCCCAGAACTTGCCATCTTCCTCCCTCTACCCCCTGGGTCCTAGGTATGCACCAACCTCACCCAGTTTGAATTTCTTCACACACGCGCACGCGTATGTACACACCCGCGCACGCACACACACACACACACACACACACACACACACGCCCAGGAAGTGGCTGATCAGGTAAAACTACCTGCTGGCAAACCTGACACCCAAGTTCACTCCCAGGATCTATACAGTAGGACTAGCTGTCCCAGACCTCCACAGTCATGCTCACAAAATAAATTAATAAAATATACAAAAATATTGGGGGCTGGAGAGGTGGCTCAGAGGTTAAGAGCACTGGCTGCTCTTCCAGAAGTCCTGAGTTCAATTCCCAGCAACCACATGGTGGCTCACAACCATCTGTAATGAGATCTGGTGCCTCTTCTGGTGAATATATGTTAACAGAACATTGTATGCATAGTAAGTAAATCTTTAAAAAATATATATATACAAAAATATTTTTAATGGAAGATTACTGATGTAGCCCAGTTCATACGGTGCATGCCTAGCAGGCACAAGGCCCTGGGCTCAGTTCCTGCTGCCTTATAAAACCAGATATGGTGGTACACTCTCAAGTACTAGGGAGACGAAGGTGGGAGGATCTTAAGTTTAGGGTTGCTAGGTGGTGGTGGCGCACGCCTTTAATCCCAGCACTCTGGAGGCAGAAGCAAGCAGATCTCTGTGAGCTCGAGGCCAGCCTGGTCTACAGAGTGAGTTCCAGGCCAGCCAGGGCTATACATAAACTCCATCTCCGAGAAAAAAAAAAATGCGGGGGGGGGGGGGTCTACCAATAGAACTGTGTACTAAAACTTCCACTTCTTGGCCCCAAAACATGTTTTAAATTCATAGCCCGAAAGCATTAATTTTCTCCTATTTTCTGTAAAATGGGTGTCTTGACACTCTTGTGTTCTCTGGTGTAGTTTTTTCAGAAGGAAATGAGTTTCCTTATCACAAACGAATCTAGCTTCACCTACTCAAAGACGATCATCTTTTCCTTATCACCGCATATCACAGCAATGTTGTATCTTATTTTTCTATTTTTTTTTCTATTTTAAAGGCTGTTTCTTTCAACTAAATGGTCTTCCATCAAGAAGTCTTTGTGCCCACAGATCCTCAGAGTAGTGCCTGAGCTGGGTTTCGACTTCTTCCTCATGTATTCTGTCCTTAGCACGATACGGGGAACAACGAACACAAACGTATGATAACTTCCTTGCTGTCTACCCAATGCGGTTTTATACCTTTATATGTCTGTCCTCTTTAGATCCTGCTGTAGTCTGGAAGGTGAACTGTTCACAGACCCATTCATAAATGCTCATCTTCCAGCCCCATCTTCCCTCGCCACTCAGGTGTAATAGAGCCTTGACAGGAACACCTCATCTCATCTTTTGTCTCTCCAAATCCAGCAGTTTTTTTTTTGTCTTTTGTTTCTTTCCTGAGCTACAAAAGTAGGCCAGGGCCAGCCAGGACACAGCACTTGGTCGGGGCTGGCAGGGAAAACCAAACACTTCTGGGATGTTCCTTGTTTCAAGCTGTTACCTGAACACCAGTTTTCTTACATATTTGCTGCCTGAAAATCCCATCTCATTTTGCAAGAGGATGGGCCAGCTACACGATGAGTCCTTTGTCTTAAGTTCCCACACCTCACAAATTCTCATCCACAAAGCGCCCATCCTCACACAGGTATGGAGTGGTCTGTTCCGCACTAGGCGCCGCAGCCTAGGGTTTCGCATCTGGATAGGGATGTGGTTAGGTTCAAGATCTTAACAGGATCCAAAATTCTGCGTCCAAATGCGAGGTCCTACCTCGGAGGTGGGGAAACGAATCCCAGTGCGACCCTCGTACTCCGTACAGGGCACATAATGGTATTCAGAACAGGCCTCCTCCAGCCCCCGGCCCCGCGTATACTCGCCTCCAACCTCAGGAGCCGGGCGGTGGCAGAGGCCGGGCCAGCGCCCGCTCCCAGCCGCGCCATGCCCTCCTTCGCCCTCATTCGCCGCCGGCTGCCGCTCACCTGGCACGCTGGCATCGCCCGTCCAGAGCCGCATGCGAGACCATAGATCCCGACCGGTTTCGGAGGCCACCGGTCCGCCTTGAGGGAGGCTGGTGCGGATGCGCGGGCACCGGAATCCAGCTCACCGACTCCGGGAACACGCCGCCCGGTTTCTAAGGAACAGGGGGCTCTGGAGGGGAGGGGCGGGGCGGCTGAGCACAGCGCATGCTCTGTGACGGGGGTGGACCCGCGCTAGGAGGGGCCGGGATGCAGAGCTGCGCATGCTCGTGCCTTGGGGCGGTGCTTATGAAACCGGCCGTGGGGCTGATGCTGTCTCGATTTCTGCGCTAGCGGTATTGATGCTAGGGGTTTTCAGCCTTGGACGCTCTCGAGTTGGCCCAATGGCGTCAAGAATGTATATTCTTTAGAGAATTCCCTGGAATAAAGAAAGGCCTTGTATTCGACAGCAACCTGTTTGTAGAAACCCAGGTATCTCCAACTGATCGGATTTTTTTGACTCTGGAATGATTGGCTTTCCTGTTTGCTCAGTTGTCTGCCTGGTCTCTCCTCTGGATGTTCTTTGGTTGTTCCTTAAACGTCATGTCTCTTTTAGTCGGTGACCTCAGGTTCTCTTGACCTCCTTATAGAGCCTGTGTTCTCTCAAGGAAATAGATTTTGTAAAGAGACTACCCTTTGTTTTACCAGACCGCTCTTACAAGTGAAGCCGATAGACCTTAATGTGAAATTGGCTCTGCAGAATGTGACTGGGATTTGTTCTACGGGGGAATATTCCCCTGGCTGCTTCTCAGCTGCAAAGGCGGAAGAACCTAGTCCTCATCCCACAGCAGGCTGGGATAAAAGAACAACACGTCTGCTGAAGGTGGTTCCGTGAGCCTTCTACCAGTTGTAAGACTTGCCACCATTACCACTGTCTCCGCACCTGCGCAGCTTCCAGAATGAAAAGAACCGCAACTTGGAACCTTCCTCTTCAAATGGGCCGTTATCCCCTGTCCACTAGAGACAGAAAGGATCAGAGTTAAAATGTGGATGCATTTCCTATTTCCTGGCATTCCTTTTGTTTGTTTGTTTGTTTTTCAAGACAGGGTTTCTGCTGGGCGATGGTGGCGCACGCCTTTAATCCCAGCACTTGGGAGGCAGAGGCAGGCGGATCTCTGTGAGTTCGAGACCAGCCTGGTCTACAGAGCTAGTTCCAGGACAGGCTCCAAAGCCACAGAGAAACCCTGTCTCGAAAAACCAAAAAAAAAAAAAAAAAAGACAGGGTTTCTCTGTGTATTCCTGGCTGTTCTGGAACTCACTCTGTAGACCAGGCTGGCCTTGAACTCAGCAAGGTCCAAGGTCCGTCTGTCACAGCCCTCCAGATGCTGATGTTAAAGGCGTGGGCCACCACTGCCTGGCTTGCATTTTATATTTGATTATGCTAATTTTCTTAGATCAGGGTTTTCAGCAGTGATACTACTAACTTTCAAAGCCTGATCATTTTTTTGTTGTTGTTGTTCAGCAGAGATGGAGAGAGCTGTTTATTATAGGATAGTTAACAGTATCCCAGGCCCTCTACCCAGTAGGTGCCATTAGCACCCAGCCCCAGTTGTGACTACTAAAAGTTACTTTTGTGCTTATCTGATTTCCCATTTCTCCCTGTGCATTAGCTCTTCCCTAAGAATTGTCAGTGCTGGGAGTGTAGCTTAGAGGTATATCACTTGCCTACTATATGTGAGAGCCTGGGTTTATGCCTCCGCATTGCCAGACAAAACCAAAGCCCTCTGTAAGATGCTGAGTGAAGCCTTCTCTAGTAATGCAGATCCAGGAGAATGCAGTGTTAAGCCCCACACTTTAACAGTTTTTAAATAGCTGGTGGTTGCCAGACTGGTGGCACACACCTTTAATACCAATACTCTGGAGGCTGAGAAAGGTCGATCTCGAGGCCAGCCTGGACCACAGAGTTCCATCCGGGACAGCCAGGGCTATACAGAGAAACCCTGCCTCCAAATGCAAAACGACAAACAAGCAGGTAGATGGTGATTGGTGCTCACTGTCAACATCCAAGGGTTTTCTTGGTTTATAGACACACCAAAAACCCTTCTCCAAGGGCGTGTCTCCTAGAGATGGGTCTGGTCCTCTCTGCAAACCTCCACCTGCTGCGTCTGTATCATTACCCGTCATGGTCAGTCTTTCCCGCCAGAGCTTGTTTGCCCTGTTCCTTCACCAACCACCCATCTTGTGCCTGACAGCATTTATCTCCTAGATATTGATCAGCCTTGCCGGTTTTTAAAGCCTACTAGTGGCATCCTCGTTCATGCCCTAATCTGTTACCTCTATATCTTCTATCCTATGGACACCAACGTAACTCACTATGTCCCTTTTCTGCACAAACCGCCGGCTCTGTGGCACCAGGAGAGCCAGCCACATGAGACTCCTGAAGGACTAAGAACCATGGATGCCTGCTATCACCTCCTGGTTCCATGACTCCACATTAACCTTCCTGTGTGGGAAGGGAGCCCAGAAAATTCACTTCCTTTTTTCTTCTTTGTTGCTCGAGATTGAACCAAGGGATTTGTTAATGTGAGGCGTCTTGGTTTTTTTTTTTATCCCGGTTGTGATAAAATGCCCCAACAAAAGCAGCTTAGCAGAGGAAGTTTGTTTGGCTCACAATTCCTAGTTATAGTTCATCTTTATGGGTGGGAGAAACTTGAAGCAGCGGTCACATCACACTCTAGAACAGGGCTGGAGAGATGGCTCAGAGGTTAAGAGCACCGGCTGTTCTTACAAAGGACCCGAGTTTAGTTCTCAGCACCCACATGACAGCTCACAACCATCCATAACTCCAGTGCCAGGGGACTGGATGACCTTCAAGAGCTCCAGTGGCACAGGTGGTACACAGATATATATGCAAACAAAACACACAGCTAAAAACAAAACCCAGCAGGAATGTATGTATGCAGCTACTCAACTTGCTCTCTCAGCCTTACATAGTCCAGGATCCTCTGCCCAGGGAATGGGCCACAGATTGTACCAGGCACTAAGACCTGAACACTACTGAAGCCATGTTAGGGACACCGTTTTGACTGTAGAACCCAGATCATATACCCGAACACCTTCTAAAATAGAAATAAAGACCTACATCCAAGACCTAATTCACAGTTCCAGGATCTGAGAAAGTCCCAAAATGCACTTACCTTTGCTTTTTGGCTTCTGTAGTTTCACTTCTTGCTAACCAAAGTATATGAACCAGGATGTGGTTTTTGTATATAAAAGGCAAAAACATGGTGAGCCTTGGAGCTGCCTGATTGAGGTAAGTTTCCCATGCAGTCTCCAGCCAGCAGTACAGACTTTGTATTTGGCTTTAGAAGTTTCTGTATGAGCTGGGTAAATCCCAGAACTCAGGAGGCAGAAGCAGGCAGATCTCTGCATTCCAGGCCAGCCTGGGCTACAGAGTTAGTTCCAGGCCAGTCTGGGCTACAGAGTGAATTCCAGGACATCCAGGAATACACAGAGAAACCTTGTCTTGAAGAAACCAAAAAGAAAAAAGAAGAGTTTCTGTGTATTGGCCTAGAGAGATGACTTATCGGTCAAGAGCACTGGCTGCTCTTCCAGAGGACCTGGGTTAGATTCCCAACACACACATGGCAGCTCACAAATGTCCTTAATTCTAGTTCCAGGGGACACTCTCTTCTGGCCTCCAAGGGTACCATGCACACATGGTACCTAGACATACATGCAGGTGACACACTAAGACACATAAAATAAAATTAAAAAGAGAAAAGAGTTTCTGTGTGGTCTCTGGTGGAAATGCTTTGCAACGCTCTGGAGGCCCCAGCAGGAGAGATGTCCAACACCCAAATAACTTGTTATCAAGCACTTTTCTTAGACTAACCCCATACCCAATTCTGTAAAACTTCAGCTATCAACCCAGCCTGCTGTCATAAAATAACCCAAGAGAGCCTCTCCACTATTGCCTGGAACTCACCGATGTGGCCCAATCAGTCAGACCCGATGGATTGAAGCAGTTTTGTTCAAAATGGAACCAGGTATTGTTGGGACCATTTGCAGTCCTGGCCTCCACTAGTGACCTTTACTTTCCTTCTGATTTGAGTTACTAAAGACTGTGTCAAAGTTGTTTACCAGCTCTGCTTCACGAGCTCGTGTTGCCTTGGCCTTGAGGATCAGAGGATGAGGTTTTCACCTGTTGGCCTCCGTGGTGCTATTGAATAAAGGGCTTCTTACCAGTGACTAGAGGTCCGTGTCTCTGTATCTCTGTGTGTTTCAACCTCCAGCCTTTTGCCCGAAGCTCACAAACTGTATGGTAGCACATAGAGCGCAGATAGGCGGTGTGCACGGCAGGTATCTTGGAGCTACAGTTGTCACCTTGGACAGGACAGTTTGGGCCCAGTCTCTCAGGTGAGGAACTTCAAGCTTTTGGCATCAACCCAGGCACTTTGCTGCGTGTACACAGACAGTTGCTAGGGATTTACCACAGCCATGTCTGTGGAGCCCTCTATAGGAAAAGGTGGCTTCTCACCTCAACCAGAAAGGAAATTAAAAACAAAGAAATCCTGGTCCTATTAGAGGCCATACAGCTCCCAAAATAGGTAGCCATTGTCCGCTTATAAAGGGCATCAGAAAGGGGAATCCCTGGCTGCCCGTGGAATTGGGGCATACACGCAGACAATATTGTATACATAATAAATAAATAAAATGTAAAAAAAAAAGATGTTCTTAATATTTGTTATGTATACAATATTCTGTGTGTCTGCAGGCCAGAAGAGGGCGCCAGACCTCATTACAGATGGTTGCGAGCCACCATGTGGTTGCCGGGAATTGAACTCAGGACCTTTGGAAGAGCAGGCAATGCTCTTAACCACTGAGCTATCTCTCCAGCTCCCTCATTTGTCTAAGGACCAGATGCACCCCAGATCAAGAGGATTTCACCCCTTTTAAAATTATACTTGAGAGATGGCTCATCAATTAAGAGCACTGATTGTTCTTCCAGACGACCACATGGCAGCTCACAACTGTCCATAGCTCTGACATCCTCACACAGAGAGATACATGTAGGCAAAAATGCAAATGCACATAAAATAAAAATTATAAAAAAATTATATTGCTGGGCGGTGGTGGCGCAAGCCTTTAATCCCAGCACTCGGGAGGCAGAGGCAGGCGGATCTCTGTGAGTTCAAGGC